AAAGGGGCTTGTTATCTGAGGAAATCACTATAGTTTGGTTCAAAACTCTACTCTAATCACCAGTATTGCCACTAGTCAAGTTTTTTTTTCTGCATTAGGGTACAGTGACTGCTGTAACAAACTATCTAAAAATTAGTAGCTGTAAACAATATGTATTTATATTTTCTTAGAGTTCTAGAGAATGGAAGGCTGAAATTAGTTTTTCTCAGATGAAATTCAGTAAGACTATAATTCCCCCTGTATCTCAATTACTTTTTAATTGCTTTAACAAAACACCATGACTGAAAAAAGCATTTAATTTGGAACTCATTGTTCCAGAGGGTTCAAGTCTGTGATCATCATGATGGGGAGCACGACAACAGGCAGGCAGGCAGGCAGTCATGGTACTGGGGCAGTCACTGGGAACTTGAATTTTGATTTATAAGCATGAGATAGAGACCCAAGGAGAAAGAGTGGAGGCGGGGGATTGTGTGGGCTTTTGAAATCTTAAAGCTTACCCCACCAGCCACTAATCCTTCCAAAATAATTTCACCATCTGGGGTCCAAGTTATTCAAACTTATATTCAAATATATGATCATTCTTGTTCAAACCACCACATTCTGTTTCCCGGGAAGCAATTATTTTTTCCTGTCTCTTTGGCTTCTGGTTGCTGTTGACCACATATGACCGTCCCATCCCAATGGCCCTCTCTCATCACATTGTCTTCTTTTCTATCTGTAGCCGAATATCCCTTTATCTCTCTGTGTTAAAGATTTATGTGATCTCATTTAGCCCCACAAAGATAATCCGCTTCAACCTCTTCATCTCTAGGTCCTTAACCAAATCACGTATGCAAGGATTTGTAATTTGGGAAGGTAATGTGAACTGTAGGAATTAGAAACTGGTGTGTGAAATGACAGCCTACAGAATGGGAAAAGATCTTCACCAACCCCACATTCAACAGAGGGATGAGTTCCAAAATAGATAAAGAACTCAAGAGACTAGATATTTTTAGGCAGTGGGCACTTGCCTTTAATCCCAGCATTTGGGAAGCAGAGACAGGTGGATTTCTGCAAGTTCAAGACCAACCTGGCCTATAGAGCAAGCTCAGGACAGGCTCCAAAGCTACAGAGAAACCCTGTCTCAAAAAAATCAAAAAAAGAAAAAAACCTTAAAAACTAAACTAGATATTAACAAACCAAATAGTTCAATTTAAAAAAAAGGGGGGGGGTACAGATCTAAACAGAATTCTCAACAGAAGAATCTTAAATGCTGAGAAACACCCAAAGAGATGTTCAACATCCTTATCCATCAGGAAAAGACAAATCAAAACATTCCTCAGATTCTATTTTACATCTGCCAGAATGGCTAACATCAAAAACACAAGTGACAGCTCACGTTGGAGAGGATGTGGAACAAGGGGAAAACTCTCCACTGCTGGTGGAACTGCAGCTTGATATACACATGGGAGACCTGTCCTTTCCTAAGCAAAAATGAAGGAGGAGTGACTGGGGGATTGGGAACAGTGGAGGGATGGGGGAAGGGACTAGAAGGAGAGGAAGGAGGAAACTGTGGCTGGGATGTAAAATAACTAAATAATTTTATTAAATAAAAGAAAGAAACTGGTGCCTGAGCTCTATTATTTCATGGATGACTATGCTGAACTCTTAGGATAGTCTCATTGAGCCTTTACCTGTAAATTAATCACCCTGGACTTTCAACTTTATCATTCATCAAAATGATCTACAGTTGTCTGTACAGGCACTGAGATTCTAAAAATGTAGGTCTTGGTGGAATGAGCATTTTGAGTGAGCAACACCATGTGAATATATTCCATAAGTACATGAAATAGGCACATAGGTGACCATTGCAGTTTCAAGTTGTGCCTTGAGAATGCTAACACAGCTTATCAAACCTAAACCCTTAAAGAGTGTCTCCACAGGAGCGGTTTGCCTGATGGTTTCCACATAGTGTTCCTTGAGGGGCTGCGGATTGTCAAGAAGAACAGGGAAAAGAGATCATAGTGACCACAGCCTTGTGTTTTCTAGACTCCCCTTCCTCTTCAACCCTATCATCTCCTGTCTTATGTCTTTTATATTGTTGAATTTCTTTAAATGATTTTTCACGTAAAAAGAGATTGGTTTCTTTAAAAAAGGCTTGTAAATTGGGCTGGTTATTTATCGACTCTAGACTCTTATTCTGCTGAAGGTATTGTGCTGGATATAGACCATGTATGTTTCCTAAATCTATAATTTACCATTACATGGATGACTTTTTGCTATCATTAGATACTTTAGAAAGAATGTTTAAAGAAGTAAAGAAAATTTTGCCAAAATTGGGACTACAAATTGCTCCTGAAAAAAATACAGAGAGGATATTCTGTCAATTACCTAGCTTATAAAATAGGTTTACAGAAAATTAGAACACAAAAGGCACAAATTAGTAGAGACCGATTGAGGACTCTTAATGACTTTCAAAGATTGTTAGGTGATATTTCCAGTCTGTGACTGGCTGTTGGGATAACACCTGATCTAATAGTTCATTTAAATAAAACCTTACATGGCAACAAAGACTTAAATAGTTCCAGAGAATTAATAGCTAAAGCAGTAAGAGCTCAGGCTTTCTCCATTTTAAACTAAAGTTGGAATAATAGAAAAAATGGAGTGGTATGTGGTGAACTTAATAAACTATTTAAAATCTAATATAATACTATTGCTACTTATTGGGTTTCTTATCCATGTTAAGCCCTTATATATATGATAAATATACATATATGCATATATGTATACATATGTTTTCTAACTCTTCAAATTATTCTTTACAATTATTTTTGAATTAGTTCTTGAAAAGTTTCATATTTGATCATATTTACCATGTTCCCCACAACTCTTCTCCAATTTATCTCCTTCCCTACCCACCCAATTTTGTGCCATTTTTTTTTACTCCTTCAAAACCAATTTGTGTTGGCCACACAGTCATAGACATGTGGTCTTCTAGTGAACAATGTTTTACTTACCAGGGGCTACAATTCTAGAGAAAATCAACCCTTTCTTCCCCAGCAGCTAACAATTGTCAGCAGCTCCACATCTAGGGGTGGGATCCTGTGTCCAACTCCTCTCGCTTTGTTACTTTTTGGTCTGACTTGGGCTTACACAGATTTTGTATATACTGCTATTGCTACTGGAAACTTGTGTGTGTAGCTGTAGCTGTCCTGTTGTGACCAGAAGAAAATAATGTTCTTGTAGAATGGGCTAAGAACTTGCCTGACTTCACAGAAGGAAATAGTGTTGAACCCAACTTTAAGCAGTCCAAATTTATAGGTCCAAGCTTAAACTCATGTTCTCCTTAAAATTTCCAGTATAGATATCAAATGATTTTTTGCTAAATGCTCTTAAAGAGCACACTGCATACTGCTCCTTTCAAGCCCTGTAGTAAGTAAGTGACTCCTTATCAATAGCCGTTTACATCAGTTAGTGTGCTCTGTGGTTTCTTTATTCCCTGGTTTGGCCTTATGCCTCTTCAAAACTATAGATAGTCTACAAAGTCCATTATTGCTTTCAGGGAGAAATATACTGTTGATGACATCTACTTTCACTTACTAACAAGCACGGAGTATGGTCAGTACAACCCATTCACCAGAGTATCATTTTATTGTCAGATAGTGCAGGTTTGTGGGCGGTTTATGTAACTCATGGAAATTATCGTTATCATTGAGAATAACAACTTTTGTTGATCATTTATGTCTTAGTACTATTTAAAGCTACTTAGAATTAATATGTTAATTTTTAGAAAGACTATGTGGAGTAAGTAGTACTAATAAGTACTTTTCTGCTAGGGGAAGTTAAAACTCAGAAATTAGGTAATTTACCCAAGATAACAACAGCAACAAAAATCCATAGCTTGTTTATCCCCTGGATTCATATAGAACTGTATCTTACTAACTTTTTATTTCAGAACTTTGCTTATAATATTTAATACCTATATATGCACTAGAAAATTATAAGTATTTGTTTTTTTTTTTTTTTTTTGTATTCCTTCAGGGGTGTTTATTTCCCAGTCAGAAGGGACAGGCTCCTCTGCCTGTTGAGGCCTAGGCCTGGCAGACTCCACACGGGGGACCAGGGAGGGGGAGGGGAGGCACAGGAGACAGCTCCCAACTGTGTGCACTTGGTCCCACATTTGTCCTGGCTGGGTCCAGGGAGGGCCTGCCCAGGGATGGTGGCACCAAGAGCCAGGGCAGAGGCATCAGGCTAGCTGGCCCAGATGGAGGCAATAAATACTGACAGGCCAGGCACGAGGTTCAGGCCCTAGGGCCCAGGTAAGACAAGTAAGGCTCGGCTGGCTTTGTCCCTCAGGGGCTCTCTGTTGGAACAGGGGCTTCGAGTGCTGCCTCTAAGGACAGAGAAGGCAGAGGAATGAGGCACCCTATCCTGCCTCCTAGATGGGGCTGGAGGCATTGAGTTTTGGCAATTGACCCTCCCCTAGCTACTGGAGCCACCCCAACCCTGGCCACGGGGAGTGGGAAGAGCTGGCCAGGCCTGCAGGAAGCAACAGCAGCACCCCAGGCCTCCATGGGTGGGTCACCAGGATGGGGATGGCAGACAAGGCAAGGACAGGGGAGACCACATGCTCATGCAGACAGGGGAGTTAAGAGTTAGCGACGGCCCCCAGTACACGTTCCACATGTTAAGGCATCATGGTTAGACAGTGACTGACAGTGATGGATGACCTGGCCAGGGAGTGGTGGGGCTAAAGGACAGACAGCCCAACCCTGCCCACACTGAGCAACCTAGCTCAGATGGGGCAGAGACAAGTGGGCTGGGCAACCCAGTGTTCCACTCCATTCTAGAAGCCAGGGCCTGAGGAAGGGAAGACAGAGGGAACCTGGAGGGACACAGCAGATTGGAGGCCTGGGCTGGAACCCCTCCCCCACCGCACAGGCAGAAGCAGCAATGTGACACTGGAGACCACAGGGGCGTGCAGGCAGTAGGTGGAGGAGGGGCAGACAGAAGAGTTGCCTGTCTGAGAGGACCAGGGAGGAATGGTGAGGGAGGGTCCTGTCAGCACTTTGGTTTGGGGGGGGAGGGGTTTGGGGTGGGGCATGTCGGTCCTTCTGTCTGTCCTTCGCCCTGCCCGCCTCCCAGCTGGAACTCAGTCCTTCCATTCCTTTTTGATGGTGAGGTTCCACTCCCAGGACAGGTGGTCAGTCTTGTCGTCGTCTGTGAAGCGGGACTTGATGTTGTAACTGCCCCGCACCAGCATGCCTTTGGGGGCCTCCTCCATGGGTGTGAGGAACTCGTACTCCTCAGCCCGGGGTCCGTAGCTCCCGACCATGTAGTCAGTCTTGTCGATTTTGACCCCTTTCCTGTATGTGTGCTGGATGTACTTCATGCCTGACACGATCTCTCTGTTCACCCGGAAAGAGATTTTTATCCGGTACTCCACACCTTCCTTCAACACAAATGACTGTTTCTTGAAGCTCTCCAGATCACCTGTCAGGTCCAGTTCCAGAGGGCCCGGGGAAGAGCTGCACACCAAGGTCAGGCGGGTCACAATGACGTTGGGGACATTGGGGTCTGCAGAGACAGCCACTCGGCCCAACAGGGCCTCCTTGTACTTCCGAAGGCTCTCATCATCCTTGTCCAGTTCCTGGATCTCCTGGATGCTCTTCTGGGCTGGGGGCTTGTAGTTGACAGAGTGCTCATCTTCCTCATTCTCGGCCGCTATCTGGGCAAGCTGCTCAGCAGTGGGCTCCTGTTCTGCCATGCTCACCGCTAGCCTGGGACACCGGAGGCTCGACCGCCGCTCTCGCGCTCCCTCCCGCACCCAAGTATTTGTTATAGATAACTTGGAAAATGTATTGTCTACTGAGAAAAGGAAAGTGATTGCCTAGATAATACTATGCATATACCATCACTGTTTTCGTGACAGTAGACTTATCTATTTTTACTGATTAGGTTAGTGATGTGAGATTCCCCTCTGTATGCTGTGATTACCATTAACGAATAAAGAAAATTGTCTTGAGCCTATGATAGGGTGGAACTTAGTTAGGCAGGGAAAACTAAACTGAATGCTGGGAAAAAGGAGACAGAGTCATAGAGAAGCCATGTACCCCTGCCGGAGACAGACGCCAGAACTTTGCTGGTAGGCCACAACCTCGTGATGATGCACAAAATAATGGAGATGGGTTAATTCTAGATGTAAGAACTAGCTAGCACTATGCTTAAGTAATTGGCCAAGCAGTGTTTTAAATAATACAGTTTCTGTGTGATTATTTTGGGGCTGAGCTGCTGGGAACAAAACAATCGGCCTCCTACAACAGGCTAGTTGTTTTCCTTTTTCTTAAAATTTCAGTCCTATCACATCTAGAGTTAAAATTCATTTTGTGAAATATTTTCTATATAAATAGCATTTTGCAATACAACAGAATTAGCATGTATCCTAAATCTAGTTTCCCCTCTTAATAACATTCCCCTTACCATACTACACTTCAAAAGGAAGATACTATACATAGTCTAGACTTAAGGAGTTCTTTTAAGTATTATGTATGGTTTTAAGTATTATGTCAAACTTTTTATTAATCATTTTATGTGCTGTTGTACACTCTGTATAAACATTATTTAGCTGTCCACTATGCTGATGATTTTGTTATAGTTACAGATTTAATTGTCTCTTTTTGTTTATTCTTATTTCATTTAGGAAATGATCATAATGAGATTTCAGATTAATGGTACAGATGAGATTGTTGGTACATGCAGTTGTATCAAGGAATTCTAGCAGCTTGTATTTAAAATAACACAACAAAATAGCCCTAACTCTTGTATTTCAACAATATTGTTTTCATTATTTACTTTTTTTGGGTAAGTTGTGTTCTTATCATTATTTCCAGTTGCATTTCTTTTAATAATTAGTGAAGCAGGCCATTTCCCCAAACATTTCTTGACTAAGTCTTTATTTTATCTTTGGAAATAATTAGGGTAGTAATCTGAATATAGCAAGAGTTAAGTAGCATCATGGATAAATTTCTTTATAAGCTTATATATGTATATGTATATATTCATGAACTGTTTTAACTTAGGTTATCACCTACTGTTTACCAAATCTATATGTTGGCAATAATTTTAAAGCAGGAGTAGTTCACATGATAGAGCTCATTATTATACTAAAAACTCTACATTTGGTAAAACTATATTGAATTAGGAAGTTGTGAGGCATATACCTGTACACCCAATATTTGAAATATGGTGGCAGAAATACAAGAATATCAAGGTCATGCTTGGCTCCAGGAGAGTTTAAGGCCAGCCTGACTTACCTGGGATTCTGTCCCAAAACAGTAAGTTATTAAGTAGATGGCAATTATTAAATATATCTAACATATTAATGGTTATATTGGAAGTTGTGTTATTCAGGGTCCGCTAGAGGAACAGAGCTATAGAATATATAGAATATATGTTGCCAAGGGAATCTATTAGATTGACTTGTCTGATACATAACGATTAGTCCAGCCATGTCTTTCTTTACCCCGGAGGTGCTGAGAACCCAATAGCTGCTTAGTCCATAAGACTGAGTGCCTTAGCAATTCCCATCTGATGCTAGAGGGTATCTGAACTGACCTTCCCTCATAATCAGATTGATGAGTACCCTAATTGTCATCATGGGACTTAGTCCAGTACCTGATGAAAGTAGATGCAGAGATCCCCGGCCAAGCCCTGGACCAAGCTCTGGGAGTCTAGTTGAGGAGAAGGTGGAGGGATTATATGAGCAAAGGGGATGGGGCCAAGATCATGATGGAGAAACCCACAGAGACAGTTGACTTGAGCTTGTTTGAGCTCACAGACTCTGGGACCCACCTGCATTTGGGTGACAGTGGCATAGTTTGGTCTTTTGTGGGGCCCCTAGCAATGGGACAGGACCTGTACCTAATGCATGGGCTGGCTCTTTGGAGCTTCTTCCATATGGTGGGATGCCTTCCTTAGCCTTGATGCAATGGGGAGTACATTGGTCTTCTTTCAGCTTGTTGTGTCCTTGTTTTGCTGATTTCTGTGGGAGATTTTACTCCATCTGAAAGGAGACAGGAGAAAGAGTGGATGGAGGGTGGGTGGAGCGAGGTCGGGGGGAGGGGATGGGAGGATAGTAGGGAAGGGGAACTATGGTTGGTATGTAAAATAAATTTTAAAAAATGATAAATAAGAAAGACTTTCTATTGCCTTAAACCCATGTCTGAGCAGTGTTCTCTGGTTAATGTACCACAACTTTTGCTTACATTTCATTGACCTCCTATATATAGTCTGGTTATTATTATCTGTAGAGAAAACCAGGAAATATTTTTATCTGGAAACATCAGTGTGTCATTTGAAATATGGACTTTGCAAAAAAGAAAGAAAGAAGAGAATGGCTAGTTTTTCAGAAGCCAGCACTGTTTGTCCCAACTGTGTCCAAAGGGCTAGAGGAAAAATCCTGAAGGAACAGGTCATACCCTCATTAAGCAGATAGTCCTCTAATAATAAAACAGACTTAGGGAATTCCTACCCCAAGTGATCTTTGGACAGTTAGTGAGGGCAGAGAGCCCTTATTATGGAGATCTGAGATGAGAACATGATGCAGACATTGGTGTCTTTATTTAGGGAACAGTCATTAGCTGAATTCAGTCAAGACTCAAGGAACTCTTTTGGCGCTTGGCAGATGTTCCTCCTCAAGCTTCCCTTTTGGCTCTTGATCATTCCTGCTAATGGTTCTCTATATTTTGAACACACTGCTTTCTTTTGCTGAGAGACATCTTGTTCTTGTCTGAGGCAATATGGAATTACTCATCAGGCGTTGGTGTCTTGTTAGGATTTCATAAGGCTCTCTAAAGAGCTTTGGGGACACACAACCCTCTGAGCTAGAAAAGATCAAAAGTAGCATGTCAAAAGATACGCACTATTCAGTTACTTTAAGGTAACGTTGAGAACCCAAGGTTTAAGATTCACAACTAATCCAGTAGCTGCTTCATGTTCTGCTGTAGTGAAAAGGCAAACCATCTGTTGTTTGAGGAAACTGGGCTTCTAGATTACTAGAGCGGTAAGGCAGTACAATGTGTGGAGCAGAGTAGAAGCCAAGCAGTAGCAATGTGGGTGAAGGGTTAGGATAGAAAGCATGAGACTCATTCGCGAAAGTTTTCTGGGAGAGCAACTTCAGGGTGAGCTCACTGATGATGTGTGAGGGGATAGGAGTGAAAGGAGGGCAACGGGAAGGCTCAAAGGTGATTGGGGCCTCAAGAGTGAGATAAGGGAGCTGCTACTAGGCACAGAGAAATGCAGCCTAGCCTCTATTTGGGGATCCCAGAGAGAATTCTGTGTTCTCTCCTGTTCCTCCAGGCATTTTGTGGAGGTGGCAGAAGCTGATTAGAGAGGGGTCTAGCTGTTACAGTCTATAGTTATTAAAGTGTCTCTGTACAGTGTGTGGTAATCAGTCTACGTTAATATGTCATCTACCTGAAGAGGCACAATTCTTCACAGCTCCACGCCTTCCTGTTCCTGATCCTGTTGGTCAGAACTTCCAGCCATGAGATTAATGGAACTTCTTACTTTTAAGCATTTTTCCATGAAAAGGTAAACAATATTATCTATTTTAGGTTAAAAGAAATGTCTTTTCAAACCGATGAAATTATCTCCCAGCCTTGCCAATGTAGGAGATCACTGTTGGGAAATTGCTATGTGGTAACTTCCCTGCGTCACCGAATTTTAGTGTTAGTTTTATAGAGTGAGGTCTGCGACCATTTGCTGGGACATTCTGAAGTGATGTATTATGTTTAAATATGTGAAGATGTGTGTCTTCACAGAGGACCCGGCATGTCATGTTAATTCAGTTTTTAAGATTTTTAACTCCTGGCAAACTGAGGGTGGGGGAATGGGAATCCATATTTAAGTTGGTTCAGAGAATTGTTTCCTATGGAAATCAGAATTAGAGCTGTTTTCTTATTCTCTTTTCTGGTGTCATCTTCTGTTAGACCTCTTTTCTTAGGCCACATAGAGGGAAAACAACCGTATGTTTAGCCTAAACACGTCTGTATTTAAAAGCTCTTGTATTGATATCAGTTATTTTCTCTGTGTCATCTTCAACATTTAGAAGGTGCGTCAAATAATGTTTTCTTTTGGACATTTAACATATTTGTGTGTGTGTGTGTGTGTGTGTGTGTGTGTGTGTGTATAGGCTAGAGGCTGACATTGGATGTACTACATTCCTCAATCATTGTCTACCTTTTTTAAAATTAATTTTACATACCAACCACAGTTCCCCTTCCCTCCCCTCCTTTTACTCCCACCTCTCCCCACACCCATCCATTCCTTAGAGAGGGTAAAGTCTCACAAGGGGAGTCAACAAAGCCTTGCATATCAAGGCTGAGCAAAGTATCCCACTACAGGGAATGGGCTTGAAGAAGCCAGTTCATGCACCAGGGATAAATACTGGTCCCAATGTCAGGGGCCCCACAAACAGATCAAGCTATACAACTGTCACCCACATTCAGAGTGCCTAGTTAGTTTGAGATAAGGTTTCTCTTGAAGCTATTCTTCGCCTAGACCAGCTGTCCAGCGAACTCCAGGGGTTTTCCTGTCTCTACTTCCCTGGGGCTGAGAGTACAGATATGTGTTTCTGCAACTGGCTTTTATGTTGTGTCCCATACATTTACCAACTGAGACACCTCTCCATCCTGCCATTTAACTTTTTGCTTCATAAGTGGCTCATGATCCCTACCCAAAATTAAGGGCCCATTGGTATTTGATGGCTTCAAGGGATGGAGAGTCAATTTTCTTTTAAGAGTTCCTAGTGTGTCAACCACATTCCAG